TGGCGTGTCCAGCCTTCCCTAAACCAATAAGGACGTTATTTCCCCGGATTCCAGAATCCATAGGGGTCTCGGGCCCAGAACTCGAACTGATATATATAAACTTTTAGCTTCCCTGTCATGCCCTGAATTGAATTTAATTAACATCTTGATTCATTTTCAGATAATGAGAAGCTAGGAGTGAGGGAAAGGGTTGATCCATCTTCGATGGAGATGATGATTTTTATCTACTGAGCAAAAACAATAGTAAAATAATAAATAGTAGTAGCCCTGTTTTTAGGAGTGACCTCGTGGTCTGGTGATACTGAGACCCAGCCATGAGCTCCTTATTTTTCCATATAATTAAGTTAATTTGAGCGTTCTGGTCGAAGCCGGAAAGGACTAACATTTTTGTCGACCCGATGTTAGGAAAACCGCTAAAAGATCTGGCTTTGGCAGAGACGGTGAAAAGCATGTAGAGCTGTGTTTAGACGCTAGCCAGTCGTTTTAGAACCTAGTTTTATTTTCCGTCGATATGTACTTCCGGGCGAATGTTAAATTTCTTTCGTGATTTTACATTGTATTTTGGTTTTTAAATAGGTGCTGGTTTGTCACATTTTAACTCTAGTCGTTTTGTTACTAGAGCTCTTTATTTTTAAAAAAGATTTCGTGTCTTGTCTTCTTTCGTGAAACATAATCATAAGTGTAAATTCCGATTCGTTAATCTTCTATAGAGGGAGTTTAAAATGTAAATTACGAACGTTTTTGCACATTTGTGCATCATCAAGTTTAAAAGAATTAAAACTTTAAAAAATGATCATCGAAGAGGTTTTTGATAAAAATAAAAATTTCAAACGTTTTTGCTACTATGGGAATCAACAGGATGTTGTTTACAATAATTGAAAATGATCATTGATCATAAAAGCATCCTAAGTTTTTGGCTATTCAAAATACTCAAAATTCAACCAATCAGAAGTTTGCAGCTTTGAAATTCGCGCTAAAATTACATCAAGATTTTATCATCAGACTTAAATTTCTGAGACATTCTCTTAATTTTATCTTTTAATGAAATTAATTTTGATTTTGACTTTAACTTTTTGACCTGTCTTTTTTTCCAATTTCGAAACATGTCAATTGTTTGTTTCGAAATTTCGGCTTTTATAATTGTTGTGATAAACTTATTATTAGATTTGTTATGTTTGATGTTTGTGCCTGTTTGTGGAAAACCCTCTGAGGGATTTTAGAGACAGGTCTGTCAAGTGGCTTTCTGTGGGGAATTGGGAAACTGGACCTGGCTCGAAGAGTCTGGTGCTGCACCGCTGGACCTACTGAGCTCGGGTAAGATTGTTCCTTGTTTTTAATTTTTATAATTCGATTTTAAAATTTAAATTAATTTAATTGACTTTTATTTTTTTAATTTAGTTTGCTGATTTATAAAATTCCCAATAACCGATTATCATGGGTTAGTTCAGTCCCCTAAAGTCCAGTCAAAATCCTTTTTTTTTGCCTTTATGCTGAGTCAAGATGAGGAAAAATAACAAAGAGTGTACAAGCAAAGATTGCTTAAAACCTTCAGGACTGATAAATTGGATTAGATGTGATTGTTGTTCTAGTTGGTATCATATCAGTTGTGTAAAAATTTCTCTTAGCGACTCTAAGAAAACCCAATGGTTTCAGTGTCTTTTATGCGTTGATGTAAAATCTGTTAATAAAGCAACAATAGGTAATGATTTTGTGCTAGACAATTACGTTATTACAAGCATCTCAAACGTCCGAGTACTCAAGAGAGTACCAAAAGACTCGCGTGTTCCCTTGGCGGAAAGTCTGTCAGACAAAATAAATGACATCGTCTACAATGTAGAAGATGTTATAAAATGGCTAATTTTTTTAATGTCGTTCTTGTTTTTTTTGGAGCAACCGAAAAGAAGTGGACGTAAACAGACCACAAGCATGAGCTCTTTGATAAATAAAAAAATTCGAGCAAATTACGTGTCACTTCCAAAACCCCATCCCCAAGTTTCAAGCCCGCCTCTGAGTGACCTCGAGCAGAGAATAAAGCTAATAAGTAGTAAGCTAGTAAGTAGTATGAAAGAAATGTAAAGGGAGGAATAAGGCTTGCTGCTACGGACGACAAAATTGCTCCTTTTTCAACTGATAACTATCAAAAGTTCTTGTCTAAGCACCCTCAGCGAGCCAAATTTGCAGCTTCAAATCCAGAAAAGTTGGATAGTTTTTTCGCAATCGATTTCGACCTATACAGAGCGATGATGTCCTTTCCGAACGGATCAGCAGTAGGTCCTGATAAAATTGTTCCTCAAATTTTTAAAGATCTTGTTAGTAAGGCAAATGGCAGTGCAGGACTTAATTTTTTGAAATCGCTTACCAAGCTGATAAACCTCATTGGAGATGGCAAAATACCCGAACCCCTAAGACCTTTTTTTGGCGCAAAGCTTATCGCCCTCATAAAAATAGACGGAGGGTTGAGACCGATTGGCATAGGCAGCACGCTGAGAGGTATCGCGTCTAAATGCGCTGGAAGCAAGGCCCTCTCCGAGCGACAAAATTTTTTCGGTAACGTACAGGTCGGATGCGGTACTAAACGAGGAGCAGAAAAAGCTGCGCACTCATTTCGAAACCTAATTGAACGCGACGACAACCCAAAATGTACTGTTCTTTTACAACTAGATTTTAAGAATGCCTTTAACTCTCTAAATAGAGAAACAATGCTGAATCATGTTTATTCAAATCGCCCCGAATTGTATAATTGCACCCATTGCGCGTATGCTAAACCTAGTTACCTTTTTTATGGAAGCTCTGTCATAATGTCACAAGACGGAACTCAGCAAGGTGATCCTGAACCCCCACCCCTTTTTGCGGAAACAATTCATACACTAGTCAAACAGTTGGAGTCGAAAATTAACATCTGGTATTTAGATGATGGAAATTTAGCCGACGACTATAAGGTAGTACTCCGAGACCTTAAAAATATTCTGAAATCGGAACAAATTTACGGCCTGAGCTTGAACACTGAGAAGTGCGAACTTTGTTTTTTGGGACCGACTACTAGTACACAGTATAATTCAATTTTAACACAATTTCGAAAAATATGCCCCAAAATAAAAATAAAAAATTATGGAGCTTGAAAAAATCTCGGATGTCATTGACAAACTAGACGCCCATTATGGTTCTTACCTCCTGAAAAACTGCTTTAGCATGCCAAAACTCCTATATTTTTTGCGTACGAGTCCTTGATTTTTGCAAAATGATTTTTTGGAACGCTACGACAAATTACTAAGAAATTCGTTATGCAAGGTCACTAACGTGAAAATGGAAGATAACCAGTTTTTACAAGCAGTTCTCCCGGCTGCCAACGGTGGCTTGGGCGTTTCTTCCGCTCGTCTACTCGCTTTACCCGCTTTCTTAGCCTCAGCAGTAAGAGCAAAAGATGCCTTGAGCGAAATCTTTGGTTTGGAGCATGTGGATGGAACCTATGATGATGCGCTTAAACGGTGGTTTGAACTTTGAAAGAAATCCAAAAAAATTGGACGAAGCCGCCAATTTTTGACAGCGAATTTTCAGACTTGATTTTACGACTCGAACCAACGCACGTAAAAAGATTCAACGCGTTCCAAGATTGATTTGGCTCCCAATGGTTGAACGTCATCCCGTGCAAAAATTTACGGTTAAAACTGTCGAACCAACAACTCAGAATTGCGATAGGACTTCGATTAGGCTCACAAATATGCGAACGGCATAAGTGCGTGTGCGGAAAAGACGTTACCGAGGATGGTTGGCATGGTTTTTCTTGACTCAAAAGTGCAGGGAGATTCTCTAGGCATTCAAACCTGAATGCCCTTATAGAGCAGAGGTTATCTCCCACTCACATTCCGTCTGTTTTAGAACCACGACACCTCTACAGGACCAATCAGAAGCGACCAGAAGGTTTGACGCTCGTTCCATGGGCTGTTGGTAAGCAGCTCTTGTGGGATGTAACGGTAGTAGACTCCTTAGCTCCTTGTAGGATTAATCAAGGGTCTGTTTGTAACCCTGGTACGGCTGCCGCTGAAGCGGAAGAGCGAAAAATTGACAAGTATGAAGATCTTGTAAATGATGAATATCTTTTTCAACCGCTAGCTTTTGAAATTCAGGGCGCGGCCGACCCCAGCCCAGAAACTTTTTTGAGCAAGATTTGGAAGAACCTAAGCATATGCACTGAGGAACCCAGAGCAGGCAGCGTTTTAAAACAGAATCTCCCTGGCAATGCAGATTGCGAACTCCGCTTGCGTACTCGGAACAATAAATGACAAAATAACTTTCGACGAAATTTTTTATTTGTAACACTTGTATATTATATTTTCTCGTGTCGAGTTGCGTGTTCTTATTGAAGAAACGTAACCCGTATCGATTTTAATTAAAAAGGATTTAAACACTTGTCATCTTCTTTTATCATTATCACTTGCATATCTAGAAAATTACAAGGATTTTGACTGGAATACGTGATGAAGGGACTCCTGACTGTAACCTCGGTTACTATGATACTTTTGACCATCTGATTACCCTTCAAAAAGCCAAAAATAAGTTTTCGATACAAAAATTTAAAGGTCAGTTCCCTGCTCCTGAACTCATCGCGCGTGTTTATCTCGGTCTCACCTTCCAGATTTGAAGTGCTTCTATTGTCAGTAGCTTGACGTTGGAGTTAGCTTGGTCTATAACCTCCCATTTCTACGAACAGTGATCTTTTAAGTTTGCTTAAAATGGGTTAAATTATTCACTAAAATAGGATGAAATTATTACATCAATAAAATAATCATATTAAGATTGTTTTTTTTGCCAGTTTTTGTGTTTTCTGTTTTTGGGTCAACGGTCGTTTACCACTTATTGCCAGCTTAAATAGTAAAAGAATATTTAATGCTGGTGTTTTGTGTTACCGCTTGTTTTTCTGAAATTGATTTTATTTTGTTTCCAAAAAAGTTTCCTAACTTTTTTTCGACTTAGTTGTTACCGTCTCTGTTCGCTAGCTTGCGTTGATGATGATGATTTTTTCAGACTTGGATTTTTAGAAAACAGGAGATGCATACAGAATATGTATTTGATTTGCCTGAAAAATCTCGGTTCTCAACGATGCTGATTTGAAAGTTTTGCCAATTTCTCATCTATAAGACCAACATGTTGCAAAATTTATTCAAGCTTAAACGCGCCACTGACTTTTGTGTCTATCTTGGTCATCCATTGCTGAGAGAAAAGTGTCAGCCGATAGTTTGGGAGAAAGACGAAGAGCTTGTTTCAATTCTCGTGTCGAAAATGAAAGCCATTCTGCAGCTACCTAAACGCTCACTGATCTCGTGGAGAAGAGTTAGTATTTACTTTTTAACAAAATCTTTTTCGAAAGCAAAGAATATACGAGCCGCGGAAGTTTTCATTCCACGCTTTTGGGAAGTTAGCCAAATTGCTTCAACATCCAAGTTTACCTTAACTATTGTCAGGCGGCTGCCGTAATTGCAATTCATTAAACATTTTGTGTGTGTGTGTAGAATCGTTTGTTACTCCTAATTGGCTGAGTCAAAATAAAGAATGATTTACATTGTAAGAAGTACCCATGGTGTGCATGACATGTAAATGTTTTTGAATTTGGGGAGTAAGGAGAAGAAAAGATTAAAAAGAAAAAATTGGGGAGTAAAGAGAAGAAAAGATTAAAAAGAAAAATTGAAATCGTTGACTGATAAGTTGCCGGTGCAGTCCATTTTCTGATATGGTTACATAAAAACATGTGCATTTTCTGAATTATATAATTTTCTAACAAACTAAAACGCACTGAAAACCAACTGGAGCTTTGTTAAGCATTGAAATTGGGATTATCGTCAAAATGTGAAATTCTATTTCTTTTTTGTTAAACACAGAATTGTTTTACCCTTTGAAGTTTTTAGTAAATTGTCGAGCTTTCTAAATCAAAATCTATTATTTAATAGTCGTTTTTTTGCTATGGGCGCTATATTTAATCTTTGAGCCCGCCAAACGTTTAAGGAAATTGATTAAAATAAACACAAGAAAAGTTCAAGATATAGTAAGCTCGCACAATGCAAGGTAAAATGTCTCAACAGATTGTTTATCTAATCACCTCAATTTGATGCCTTCTGTTCGTTTCAGACAAGAACTTTAAGCTGTTATACCGTGCTCAAAATATTTTAATACTCACCAACCGATTCAAGTTAAAGAGAGTTGCCACATTTTCGACAGACATAGTTAGATAAAGAAAATATGGATTAATGCGAAAAAATTTTTCCACGCAAAAAGAAATTTCTCATACAAATTTTAGATCCCAAATTAGTCTAAAAGTTCAAATTTGCATGTATTTTTTTCTTCTTAATCAGCTGACTGCTTTCTTTTCGTCAGTTCTTCCTGTTTGAACGGTTGCTGCAAATTACTACTATTAATGCGTTTATTGTGCGTTTTCCCATTGTGGCGGAGTTGGACATTAGGAAATTGCCAAACTATCGTAGCCGCGACCGTGTTTTTAGCTTGTAGATCAACAAGACCTGTTATTTTAATTACTACTTTATTGGTAACTCTGTCTTTATAAGTGACTCCTGTAACCTGCAGATCTTTCACATCAGCTTTGAAGAGAGCTGGATATTGCCCTGGTCTGCGCCCAGATTTCAGAGCAGTAAATCAGAACTGGGCAGAGTTAAGCTCAGTAGATATGACGCATTCTAATCAAGTCATTATCTTTATTCAGCAACAGAAGCGCAATTTGCCTCCATTTTGTCCAGAAAGCTGCTATTATGACCGATGATGCACGTATTGCATTACTTTCATCGAAAAATCATATCACTCAGATTACAGAACTCTTTGTCAGTACTCATGGTTTCAAATTGATTGATCGGTAGAGTAGCATTCTGATTTGAGCGATAATTGGAAGGATTATTGCATCTTGAACAAACATAATTAGTATTTTGTTTACGTATTTTCCTCAGACCACCTCATTTTTTATGCACCCATTGGTTACAAAAACCTGCAGCGTGTTGAATTGGCGCCGACTCCCATTAAACAACAAGCCCATGAATATTCCTATTTTTTGAGGAATACATTTTTGGCCTGAAGTCAAGTGCTTTGTCTTATCTACGTTGATCTTTAAACTGCGTTTTTGCAAAGCCTCATTCCAAGAATTAAACTTCTCAATAGACTGGAATTCCGTTTCAGCGGATATCACAAGGTCATCTGCATATCGCATGGTACCATGGAACGACATTTTCTCGTGGTCTCTTCCATTACTATTAAAAAAAACAATGGGCGAAGTGCCGATCCTTGATGCACGCCTAGTTTAATTTCGAAGTAATCCTTCTTTGGGTCGGCGAACTCGGTGTGCAGACTCGGCGAAATCGGTCTTCGACTCGGTGTACAGACACAAAATTAGTCGTACCAAATTTTCTGGAACTCGCTGTTGCCTCAGCCCATGGGACCAGTTCCCTCGGAGCACGGTCGAGGACCATTTCGAGATCAACATTTATGTGATGCAAATAGTTCCTTCAATTGTCCCTTAAGAAAAACGGCATCGGTAGTTGATCTACAACCCTTAAAGCCAAATTGCAAGTCATTTATTTTTTATCAATTGTCTCAGACGTTTTATCTTGTACTTTTTTGAAATATTGAATTGTACTTATCTTGTACTTTTTCATCTCTCTGTAGGCTATGTTTTATAGATTTAAAGGGGTTTAGATTTTGATTGACCGTTGGACAATTTTGGGTGTTAGCTTTCAGGTTTCTCTTGTTTTCAACTCGTAAACAATAAAATAGTCTACGATCAAACTCATTCAAGTTAGTGCAATAGTTTTAACAGTTTCGTTTCGTATGGAAGTTAAAAGAATCAATTGTTTTACTTCTGAGAGAAAGTATACATGTATTACAGGGCTATACGTTTTTTATGGTACGCTACTTTTTTTTAGAACTATTAGATATTGACCTTGTTTCATCAATGAACCTCGACATCTTCTAGGCAACTTTTCTTTTGGTCAAGAGGTTAAGCACGCGCCTTCGGAAGGTAAGATACAGGTTTCTCGCCGGCGCCTTGATGTTCTTTGATATGATGAAAATTGAATTGTTTTTGGGATAACTTGAATTATCGAACTAATATTTGTCTGCTTTTTTATTGGCTTACTTTCCAAAGCATGGCTTTTTCAAGGCATCTTTTTTTCTGATTTAAGCAATTATCGCTATATTTGATGGCCGTTCTGTAAGTTTAGGTACTCTGATTTTGTTTAGTTACCTTGTAGATTTTTTCACTTAGTGTAAAACATTGTATTTATAAATTTTATAGCTCAAAATTGTCTAGGAAAACCTTTCGGCACAAGTGGTGTAGTCTGAGTAATATCAGCTGAGTTGCCGCTCGATTATTGATTTTTACTGTTTTTATAATGCTCAAATTTGGCAAAAGGAAAAGCAAAAGTGTAAAGGTCACGAAAAACGTGATTGACTTCTAATTACAAAGTAGATTTTAATTCAAATTTCCCAGCTGAGTGATAACTTTATTTCGATCCAGTTTTCAAAATTTAGGTTAACACTATCAGAAAAGTTTCAATTATAAATTGTTCTTAAAATTCAAAGAGATTGTAGGTCTTTTTTTAATTTGAATTTTGAAAGTTGAAGTTTTTTTTAAAAAGCAAGTCAGTCTTTTTTCTGTTTCCTTGCGTTTATTGACGATGCTGTACCATCTGTGTCTGTTGTCTGTGTTTATTTTTATCCCTGGTGTTCAAACGGCTGCTAAGGCAATAGCGGAGTACAAGCTATACGTATACTTTAGGCGCGTATTTTAACGAAAATGGCGAATTCGCCTATCGGTTATCATCTTACCTACTTGCTGTTTCTAGAAACACATGTCTATACGTGTTTCCCTGTGTTATTTGTTTGCTGTTTTTTTTGCAGTCGAGCAACAGCAGTGATGTTCCAATTGGGATTTCTGCCAATCAGTTGGGTCACGCTAAAAGGATGTTTGCAGTGCACATACCTCGTGAGTAAGTCTGTCCTCACTGTTAGAAACCTGAACACGAAAACAAATGATGTTATCCCTATGAGTATCTCCTTTTTCGTCCGATTCTGATTTCTATCTTTCAATAAACTGTTTTTAAAAGCTGGCATTGTGATCTGCACCCAGAATTTACTCTGCGTGTATATTTGCATTACTGAATCAGATTATATCTCAGTTTTTAATAAGGAGATTCATGTTCCTGGCACTACAAAAAGTATTTGTAATAGATTAGTGCTGCGAGATTCTGGAGGCGAGCCATTGCCCTTCTCTGTGTTCGTCAACCCCAGAATGAAAATCGTGAACAGTGCCAAATTTACGAGCAGAGAGTCCTGTGTTAGTGTTCCTTGTGTAGACGGTGACGTTTGGAGGTACTCAAACGTCATCATTGAAGGTGAGGACTTTTACTCTTTTTATTATTGGCATTTTTGGTTTAAGTGGTCGCTCCTGATAAAAATTTGCAGTGGGAAGATATTACTTTTGAATATCTATTAAATTGGAACACATAATTTTCAACAAGCCCGAATCTTTGTCCAATATCTGACTTCGTGATGATCAACTGGATTTATATGATATTTAGCTCTGATTAAGCAAATATATAGCCGTTGTAAATCAAAGTTAACTTAAATTCTTGTATTTTAATGCAAAAAACTTTTCAATTACTCAATATTGACATTGACCTTCTTTTTAAAAATATTTATGTTAGTTTAGATGAAAGTTAAGATAATAAATCATACAATTCCTTAGTTGCCAATATTTACTAAGAATGTCATGAAATGTTTTGATTGTTAGCTGAAAATGAAAAGAGGCAACCTGTTAGCATCAATTGCAGAGGTCTTTTGTCGGCAGTGATGCAGCACGAAATGGACCATTTGAAAGGGGAAGTGTTCCTAGACCATCTGCAATCCACGAAAACTCTTCGTTACTCACCTCCTATTAAATAAATAACCTGATAAAACTAAATGATAGACTGTTTTATTTCACACTGTTTTCAATTGAGAAGAAACATTTCGGGCTTAAGTTCCAGACTTTTGGTCTTCAATTCAAATTTTCTTTGATCAGAATTTTCTCTTCAGATTTAGAATTAGTTAATGTTGATTTTGAGATAGAAATAAATGCTGCTGTCATAGGTTTTTCAAGGCGAAGGTTGGCCACTGACATGTAAGTTTTTACACAATTTCAGCTTAATAAAGTTTATAAAAGGATGTTCTAATTTGAACTCTTGTTAGAGTGAATATGGCTGATTATTCTCAAACACATCGGTTTCTGAATGAGCGTTCTCTGAAAATAATCAACGACAGCTCCGTTTTTTAGCGCGAGTTTTTTAAAAAAAAAAAACTGGTAGTTTCAGAGCAAATAAAAAGCGAATCTTTGATGCAGTGCTGTTACGTACGGGATGATGTTTTAGAATTGTCTCATATGCAGAAAAAAAGTTAATGAAATAGAAAGGTAAATATAATGGTCCCACCAAAATTTTTTTTATAGTAATGTTCCTATTTTCCATTGAACTTGAGATCACAAACCTATTTTGCAGATTTTCACAGCTGTGGTCTAAACTGGTTGTCGGCGAGATCAAGATCGGGAGCCTGACCAAGGATTCGATCACACTAAGATCTGTTTTTCTGTTGGCATATATCACGGTTTACCTGCTTGTCACGAGGTATCTACCGTACTATTCCCAACTGAGAATGTTAGGTAGTTGCTAATAGAAATTTGAAAGTTAAATCATATTAAAGAGCCAGATAATAAGTTCCTGTGGTGTCATATTCAAGTTTGGTCTATCTTTATTTGGAGTTTTAAAAGAGGTTTTGAGAAGATTTTAGTTTCTCAGTTTTATTATCTTTTGCGAGAGCAAGTGACTTGTAATCAGGTACAACTTTTTATCTCGTAAGAAAATTTTCTTCAAATATGTAAGAAACTGAAATTGCGTTATTATTGAACCTAAGCAACTTCCATGATTCTTATCAGTTTGCTCAGAGGTAATGCTGGCGCCTTAGCACCCCTAGGTCTGTAGTTCAAATGCCGGCCGGATCTTGTTTTTTTCTTCAGTTTGTGTGAAATTGATTTTTTTTTCTGGGATAAATTGATTTGTCGGACTGGACTGTCTGCTCATTTTTAAGAGTCGATGAAAGTAGTCTTTCGCGGTGTGACTTTGATTTCGTTATAAATTCAGTTCATTTTTTTAAAAGGCAGGCAAACTCCACTATCGAACAGCAAAAGTGTAAAGGTCACGCAAAAGGCGATTGTCTTCTAATTGCAAATTAGATTTTAATTTTCAGATTGCCCAGCGGAGTGAAAACTTTATTTATTGATCGAGTTTTCTCAAATTGGGTTAATTTTATCAAAAACAGTTTTGGTCACATATTGTTCTTGAAATTCAACGAGCTTTAAGGCCATCTTATTTTTGTTCTTCGAAATTGAAGTTGACTGGCGTTTATTGTCTTTTCTATTGACTTGCGTTCATTGACTTTTTTCCAACTGTCTGTTGGCTATGTTTGTCGTTCAATTGCCAAAACACGGAATTTTTTTTCCATTTTAGACAATTTTTGTCACAATTGACATTCGTTCTGTTGTTTGTAAATTTATCGACTCGGGTTCTAAAAATCCGAGTGCATGAAGTTTTTTAATTGAAAAACTTAATTAAATCGTTTAAGCTTGTTTCATCGATTTAGTCAAGCTTATTGTGCTGAGTTTAAAAAGCAAACGTTATATTTTTTTGTTTTGAGTATTTCAGTGGAAATGGGGAATAAAAGCTACACATTTTATGAAATTATGCGCTCAAAAAATGACCATGATTTATGACGTTTTTTGTTTTCCGCTCAAAGGCGTAATTGTAGTTTACGCCTGTTGCAAAAACACTTTAACACTTTAAAAACATTAATGGTGCAAAAGTGTACATATAGTTTCAAGTATTCCTGCTTGCGATTAGAATGCGTTACCAAATTCAATTTTGACTTTTTCGGGCTAATAACTCGTATAAAAATATCCAATTAATCACTGGACAACACGTGCACTCCATTTACGTGCTGACATGTACAATTTTTTGAAAATTTAAATCATACTATTGAACTGCTGATATTACAGTACAGTTTAGAAGTTGTATTAGTACTCTTGATATCGAATATAATTTCAAATTTTTTGGCTTCAGCCTTTTTGATTTAGATGTAACGACTGGGACGGCAAAGATAAGGACCTCGAACTGCAAAAGTCCTAAGCGTGATCCGGCCAGGACCTGATTTTTTTTCAGATCGAAAGTTTCCCGTTTCAAAAAAAAATTACGGCCTATAGTCCGTCTGATAATGTTTTGTCGGCTTCGTTGCCGCATTATAGAATTTTTTTCTGCAGTAAGCTATTATCATTGAAGTTGCAATTGTTTTGATTCGCTCCTGTCATATTTAAGTTCTGATTCGCTCCTGTCATTTGAGCTTATGTTTGATCTGCTTGGTGACTGTTTGAGGGGATACATAATTTTTAACCCCCCGTGCGCCTCAGGAACACACAAAAGGATTTTGAAAAACTTAGAATTTCAGAACTTATTGCTCAAAGTGTTTTATGATACAAATATTGTTTTTATTTTGAGGTCGGCTTGAAAGGTAGATGTCAAAAAATTTCGTTCACTTTCAAAAAATATTGATATTGACCTCAAAAAGTGATAAGCAAAAAGATAACCATACCCTAAGGGCGTCCGTAAGTAAAATAAAGAAAAAAAAGTTGCAAATTATTTTTGTGGCTTAGCAAACTAACCGAGCTCTAGCTATGCTGCCCGTGTCAAAACGAAGGTCTGATAGTTTTGACTGCCCTTCAAACAGTCTTTTTTTTTGGTTTCAAAGATAGTGAAATGAACTAAAGCGTCGTGACTCTTGCCGAAAGCAAATCACATGATTAAGAGTAATGAACGCAGTGAAGATTCTTAATTAGGTCTTGTTTTTTTTTGTTTTTTTTTGTTAAGGAAAAAGTCCTAAAATGCTCTAATAACTACAGATAGGCATTCATACATATGAATGCATTTATGAATGCACTTAGGTATATATGTACGTTTGGGTTCAATTAAAATTCATCTCCTGAAAATTACGTAAATAGTACCCTCGAAATACGAACGTGGAAATGGCGCAAAAAAATGTGAACGATTTCTTTTTTCGAAATAATAATAAACTTTACCTATTGATCCAGTTTTCTCAAGTTAAGTTAATTTTATCAGAAAATTGCCAAATACACATTGTTCTAGATATTCAAAGAGCTTCAAGGGCATCTATTTTTTTTCTTTGGAATTCGAAAATTTTCAATTTGAAGTTCGAGATTTTTTCAAAGTCAAATGTTTTTTTTTTGTTTACTTGCATTTTTTAAAAACCTTTTTCCAACTGTGAGTTGGCTATGTTTGAAATTGTATCAATTTCTGTATCAACTCCTTGAAAGCTGCATAAAGTTTAAAGGACACTCAGAAATTCGTCTTGACACGAGCAGCATAGTTTTATTTGCGTCGTATAAGATGGTTTCCGTGAAATTTTGAACGCTTTTGTTTGATTGGTGTGTAATAGATTAAATTAAAAGAAAAATCCTGAAAATAGCTGCAGGCATCGACTTTGAAAATTCTGCGAAAAGTTTGTGACAAATGATACTTTTTAAAATATGGTGCTGAAATAACTGTGGCTGTTTGACCATACAGATTGCTCCGTCGTATGATTTGCCCTTCTGATGGGTGTCTTCATAACCTTAAGATGGTTATGTTTATTTGTTTCAGTTGCAAGCATGTCTTCAAGTGTTGATTCAGTAAAAGTGTACAGGACATGGAAGGACCTTGCGGTTAAAATGTGTAAATTATGTGGTAGCAAAATTATGGAAGACGTGAACAAGAGAAATTACTTGGAGAGCCACTCGAATGACCTTGCAAGTGGAAGTTTGAAAACAGGTGAGCTAGTATATCTCAAGGTATTAAGCGCACCGAGTGTTCGCTTTTCTGACTTTCAACGTCGTACATTTTTGACGAGCTTACCATGCTTTATTTGGGAATTACGTACCAAACAAAATTTCGTCGGAACCTTTCAGAAAATTCGTGCAAAACACAATTTTAGTTGAATAGGTAGCTGGATGTGATTACCGTCTTCATTTAATCACTGTTGAATTTTTCCGACCATTGAAAATGGAGAGGAACTTTGTATTCGGGTGTTTTAATTTTCTTTTTTTTTCCACGCAAAATCAGGTACCACAAATAATAACCGGACTGGGTTGAGTGATATATCATATTAAAGCCCTTTTAGTCGTGATTCGAAAGACATTTAGAAATTCCAAAAAAATTTCCCAGTTTCGAGAAAAACCGGTTTGAAATTTTTGCTTTTTCGTCTAGTTTCGAGCGAGTGAGCAGGCTTACATAAGCTTATTTATGCTTAACTTATGCCTTGAAATTTTTTTTCTCAAATGAAGTTAGTTGTTAGAGTTTTAAGCTTCATCTTAAGAATCAAACACTTCAAAAATTTGGGAAAAAATTTTGAAAATAAAAAAAAATATATATTTTTTTTCTGCTTTTTTGTTTTTCTTGTTAATTGTCTTCAAAAATTGTTTTCCAATTTGCAGATTTTACTATAAGTGACGAAAATGTCTAAGCTCTATTTTTTCGCTCAGATTTTTTTTATCACAACTCGCCGAAAAAACGACACTAATTTGAAAAATTCATAATAATTTCGTTGTAATTTTCTAAGACTGGTCGGAACATTCTGTGCTATTTGAGCACTACCCTGAGTTCTTTTGCATTGGAGCTACTGTTCGTTTTGGCATTTTTTAAAATTGATGGTCATGACTACTGTATAGAACAATGCAAAATCTTTAATTCAGTGTATTGTCATAAACATAAGTTTTTCGCTGATGTAAAACATGAAACACTTTTGAATATAAAGCTTGGTTATATAGACATTAAAAATGGTAAAATATGAAGCTCGCTGATTGAAAAATTTTCTTAGGAGTAGTTAGTATCAAAAGTACAGTTGCTGACCTAGTGACAGAAACAGACCAGGAAGTGGAGCGTATGATCAAGGAGATGATCAAACAGAACTATCCCGATCACTTCTTTGTAGGGGAGGAAACTTCAGAAGAAACAGGAGGTAGGTGTTTCGTCACAATTCTGATAGAGGGGTCGCAAGAAACCAAACGGGTCCCTAATGTAAATAGAAAGCCTCAAAATTGTTCAATTTTGTGCTTTGTTGATGTCAGTTTAAGTATCGAATAAATTTGAACGACTGAGGCAGGTTAGGTTAATAACGATTGAGAAAAAGCTTTGAAACGACCGACCGGAGCATTTGAGTTATTTATTTGTGGTATTTGCCCAAAAATTATGTACTTTGGCACCCCTCTCTCACTTGGTTTTTACCGGGATTCCTATATCACACTTTTACTGGTGTTTCCCCACAATTTCTAGAAATATAATCTGGAAGGCTACCCATTTTATTTATGGATTCACATTCACTACACACAATTCTGATAGGCAAAAGGTGAAAACTTTCCAGAAATGATCAAACCCCTTGTTAAGTCGACTATATCCGTTGGCTGCTTTGGTGAAAATATACAGTAATTCTGAAAATGAGTTAAAGCTTTTTTTGGTTGCGGCCTTTTCAAATTTATATAAATATAGTTATAAATACGGCGTTACGTAATTTATATGTAATATAGGATTTTTCTGGAAATAAAGGTCAGCTCTGCAAAGATTGCTGACCTAAAGAAAGATATGGACTATTTTTTCATAATTCGAATGACTCTTATTTTATAATAGAGCCATTCGAAATATGAAAAAATTGTCCATATCTTTTTTAGGCCAGCAATCTAAGTCAGCTGTAAAAAAAAGTAGCAGATTTAAACAGAAATTCGACCCCCTGACCACAAAGGGTCGATAACTGGTACGATTTTAGGAGATCCATTTTTGCTCAACGAACCTTAATGTTTTCTGTGTGCGTCATTAAAGGCAAATTTTGAGGGGCGAGCGCGCGCTGATTAAAAAAACAACACGTTATTTGGTCAAAACTTTTGACGAAATTTTAAAAAATTTGAAAATCCGCCCTCCTCCGGAAAATCCTAGATCCGCCCCTGAATTCCAAATATTACAAACGTACAACTGATATTAAGTTGTAACATGTTTTTTTTTATGTCAAGGAAAGCTCTCACTAACCAATAATCCAACATGGGTGGTGGATCCGATTGACGGAACAACTAATTTCGTCCATAAGAATCCGGGGTTCTGTGTTTCAATTGGGGTTCTGCACAACAAGAGACCTGTCGTAGGCGTAGTGTATGAAGTGTTTGGGGATAACCTCTATTGGGCAGTGGAGGGAATGGGCGCCTATCGTAACGGAGAATCACTCAGTGTAACTGATTGTGATAAACTGGAGAAATGTCTGCTTATGACTGAAGTAAGTTGTTCTGTTTTTCAGAAAAGTCAAATGGCCAAATGTTGGATTAAGCAACAAAACTCCTGGCTTCAAATCCGGTTAGGACTAGTTTTTAGACTTTTCCCGTAAACTACTTTTACATATTCTCGTAACATCTTTCAGTAGCCCCGTCGCCTTTCTAGTAGCGCCGTCGCCAGTAACGCCATTGTGTTTGCACCGTAAAGTCTGGGGTTCAAGTCGGATCTTCTTTTTTTCTCAGTAGTATGCAATTGACACAAAATTGTTTGTTAAAATTGAATTGTCGGACTTTCGTTTGTCTGCTTAAGTTTTGTCGGCTAAGTTGCCACATCACGGATTTTGCAGTTGAATATCTGTAGTACAATTGTTGTTCATTCTAGTTTCAGGGGCGACTTGAAGGATTAACTTTTTTCATAAAATGTTTTTTTTTCGTTTCAACTGCTCAAGTTTTGTCGGCTAAAATGTCGCATTCGGGATTTTGCTTTTGCTGTAAGCAACTTTCATTGCAGTTGCAAGTACATGTCTTGTTCATTTTATTTTCAGGGGGAACTTGGAAGATATAGAAAAAAAATATCATTTTTTTTCGGCCCAACTGGTGTCTGCTCAAGTCTTGTCAGCTAAGTTGTCAGAAACTGAAAATATTCGACTGTTTTTGGACTTTTGTGTCTGCTCATTTTGTCGGCCTACACCCCGCAGAATCGTTCAGCTTCTTTTTGGCATTCTGAAAGCTCTTTGTGAAATTTCTACTGGCGCAGGTAATTTTGTTCCAGGATTTTTTTGTCCTTTAAGTGCAGTTTCTATACAATTTTTTGAATGTTTTTTTTTTTCGATTTTTTTCTAAGTTTGCTGGTAATCGTAGTCATTCGTTTTGTATCGCAACTGATGGGAAGCTCTTTTCCATCTGTTCTAAATGCAAACTGCATTTTTTTGTGCTATTTTATACTATCGTCCGGCTGCTGAATTTTGTTGGCTTAGTTCCCACAATGTTTTTCATGGAAATTCGGTTTTTCTTCTAACAGAATGACTGTTCTCTGTGAAAATTCTAATAATGATTGTATTTGAGGTCCGTGTTTTGAATTTTTTAGCAAGTTTTTTTAAGATTTTGGACGAAAAAATATGAAAAAAAGCTTGCATCGCATTTACATCGCATCTGAGTTTAAAAAACAAAGAATGAAACGTTTTCGTTGTCTTTTGAATTGCTTTACTAAAACTTTTCTGGTCACAATTTTCTGTGCTTCTTGCAAAGCATCTGGCTATTCATAGTTTTTTTGCTTTCATATGTGAGCTTTTGATCAATGTTTTTATAGAACGAGTTGATATAGCTCAAAGTAGTGCTCATTTGGTAAAAAATTTGGCAATTCATTGGCATATGTTTATCCGGCCTATTGTTGGCTTGTTTGGGTTATTTCAAGAGAACATAACACAGATTCGAGGGCGTGAGACTCAATTTCTTGATTTAGGGGTTCGATTCCGAATCTTGGATACAGTTATTTTTTTCAAGGTTTATTTTTTTAGTTTTTTCCTTTTTTTCTAGCGAACTTTTTTAAGCGTAATGCAATAGTACGACTTCTATTTTTCCTAACCTGAGACGCAAATATTGATGCCACTTTAGGGAACCTGTACAGCTTTCGATAGCATGTGCTTTGTAATTCGATTAGTAATACGTTAACACAGCTGATGCATTTCTGATTCTTCTAATGAACCCAAAATATCAGTACAATAATAAGGGCCCGATTTCAGAATTTTCCAACTCAATTTATCTCGCAATATTTTTGAAATGCTTAGGGGCAGGGCGTGAGACTCCAAATCTCGAGATCGCAGGTTCGAATCCGATACTTAGCAAAGTCTTACTAATTCGAGCCCTTTTTCTTTTTTTCTCATTTCACTTTATAAAGCTGTTTTTTGTCGTGTTACCGCTAGTGTTGGCGAAGCACAGCTTCGCCTCTGTGTTTACTTTAAGAGCCAATTTTTGGCGCTGTGTGGCTTGTGTTTCCGAATTGCAGCTTGCCTGTGTTCAAATTTGATTAATTTTTTTAGACAACTTCTAGACGAGACGAACAATCAATCTCCGACGTTACCAAGACCATTTCCAATCTGCTCGCAGCCGGTCTGTCCGCAATGAGGATGACAGGCAGTGCTGCTCTGAACGTGTGTAAAGTGGCTGAGGGTTCTGCAGATGGCTACTACGAAATAGGACCCCATATTTGGGACGTGGCAGCTGCAGCAGTCATTTTAACGGAAGCCGGAGGACATTTGCTGCATCCGAAGACTCTAGAACCAGCGGCTTTGGAAGCGCGAGAATTTCTAGCAGTCGGTGAAAAAGTAGAGTTGGCGAAGTTGATTAGTCCGCACGTAGAGAAGTCGTTTCAACTTGAATCTGATTAAAGTTAAAATAGCTAAATTTGCTAAATTTTTAACGGTGATACCAATATTTGTATTTGGATTGTGATTTCAATTTATATCTTGAGAAATTGTATGATTGTGTGTATTTATTTGAAGGAAACTATTTTATTGCTTAGAATGGTTAGTTTATTTTTCCAGATAATTGTTTTGCTAAAGTGAAGCAAAAATTCGTAACTTGTTAATTCGTAGCAGTAAATTAAGAGGTAAATACTGATTTGCACACTATATACCACTGGTGCCTAATTTTAGAGCTCTCGAAGAAGCGAAAAAAGAAAATTGAGAAAACTTTGTTCGTTTTCTTAGTTTATGAAATGTATTAGTAAAAAATGCTTAAATTTTCAAAAAAAGTTATGAGAAAAGAAGGTAGTATAGGTATAATTATGTTTATTACATCAAAGAAAATGAATAAAAAATTACAAATTGATACACGAATCAGAAAATGACACACGCAAGACATGTGATGAGTAAAACTAGCAAAAAAAGTGATAGAGTGACTTCTTTCTAATATGTTTGTCGAACTTTACTATAAAGTTTTGTTAAATATCATACAAAACAATGAAGTAAGTTAATCTTGCGCATACATTTAGAGGCTGAAACCAGCACAATGTAAAATTTGGGCAAGAATAAATTTGTGAGTTTTTGATGACCTCTCTTTGTGATATCATTAACTTTTACTTTTTTTGTTGTTAAACTAAGCTTCAATATTTTCTGCTTTTGTATTGATACTCTACAATTATTTTGATATACATAATACATTGTTTTTCCACCTCAACATAAAACGGTTTTTGAGTACTTGTTGAGTTTCAACGACTAAAAACAAACCATATAGATATTTTTCTCAAAATAGCTCTCAAATGGCACCTGCCAGCAGGCTTGTTGCCTTGGGGCGTCCATTTAAATCGGCGCTACAAAAATTGTATATATCATAAATATGGTTGGTAATGATCTCGATTCATAAGCGAGTTTGTTATCGTTTAGTTTTCATTAAGTTTGATTTTGGCGCAAAATGTTGTTCGTCTTAATCAGTTTCGGCTGATGGTATATCGGCATACTCGTCGAAATTTTGACTTGTGCTTTGGCTGGATAAAGTCAAAGCTGTGTATCTGATTTTTTTTTGTGAGAATAATTTTGTTTTCGGCTAAACGGGAGTCTGCACATGTATTGTCGGCTTAGCCACTGCTGGATAATTTTGCATGAATGCCAAATTAGCGCTGGTAAATGTGTTTCTAGACTTTTTTCCTGGCCTTGAACTTAATGAGTTTTTTTCAAAATTTTAAAAAGCGGATTTCTGTCATCTTCGGTCTGCTAGCTTGCCACGCGATGTTTTTGTAATGTATTGCAAGTGAGGCAACGCTCCGCTGTATCCCTGTGTCAATCTTCTGACCATGTTATATACATAGGGGAATTGCAGATTCTGTTTTACAGCGTAATGCTATCGGAATGAGGAAAGCTGTTTGTTTAATCACTTTAAGTTTTGTCTCGGTAGTTACTCCTCATATATTAGAAATATGCGTGAAAACATCTGATTAGAGTTTTGTATTCCAACCACTGAACTGGTGGTGCTTTTATTGCATTAGTTCCAAAAACTATAACTAAACAAAAATTTTCTAATTTTTCTGTTTTCCTATTCTTAATGCTTATTTTTTGTTCTAGAGAGTTCTAAAAATGACTTGTTTGAAGTCGAGTAAACCCAATTTTTGTTATTACTCTCAAAATCCGAAAGAAAAAATCCTGGGATCTTTGATTCTAATTTTTCTTGTTCCTGAGTAAATTTTTGTTCTGCACTAAAGATTGAACCAGGAGTGTTAAATGCGTGATTTCACTTTCGGAAACTCTGAATGGTGCAGTGCTTGATTTTGAATGTAATGAATGAAATAACTGCTCGCTACCGTTATGGACTGGTTTCTTATCTGGTCAGTTGGCCACGAAATTCAGTCTGATTATCAATTCACAGTATTTGTTCTGCAACACTTCTAGCAGCGATCAAAACTTCTTTCTTTTCTGGATCTAGTCATGCAAAATGGCTATTCGAAGGATGATTTTCTGTTATGGCGAGATTTCGCTGTGAAGTTGTGCAGACATAATGCCTCAGTGGCCAAAGGGTTCCAAGAGAGAAGAAAACTGGACGAAGATAGTTTCAAAGTGGACACAAAGCTTGACTTCACCGGTACAGTTGAAAAGATAAAAATAGAGTTTCAACGAAGTGATATACGTGCTATTTCAATAGCTGTCAAGGATGGATCTAAGATTTTTGCAAGCAAGAGCGAATGTTTAATCAAATCAAAAGTTGGATCTTGTTAACTATACCCCCAATAGTAACTTGTAACGAATCCCCGCTATAGGGAACGAACTGAACAGTTAGGCATATACGAATTTTGTACCATGTAACTATTCCTCAACCCACCCCCTTATTGCAAAAGTTTTCTTTACCCTTCTTGGACCGAGCAAATTGATTTTCCTTAATTTTCTCAAAATAATTAAGCAGTAGATTATAATTTGGCAAAAATGTCTACCCCGTTTCTAAAAATAAGTCTAAATTGGCACATTTTTAAGACTAGCCGGCCAAAAATAGATCATGTCGTTAAATAGTACTCAAACTTGCAGTTTTTTGCTAAAGTGACGATCCCCCGAGAATGGGAGGCGGTCACTCCCTGCCTAATAAATCCATCCCTATTAACTCCACCAGCAATCATTTCAAAAATTTCGATAAATCGATTGCAAAACTTTAAATTCGAAGTCTTATAATTGTTTGCTTCGTTTCCATTTTTAAAGGCTAAAGGCACCTAAAAATTCTTTAGGGTGCTTGAGTCTCTTCTCAACATGCCGTTCTTTTTGTCGTCAAAGAGGTTAGTTTTTTTATCATAATTATTTTTCTCTGCTCTTTCTCCACCCCCTTCCCCCACCTGCGATTTTTTACAATTTAATTTTTGTTCACATTGTTCGATTCCTACAAAAATTGGTATGTGGCAAACATATTCGGTCTTCATACATAACCTTGTAAAACGCCTGGTTATACTGTAAAATTGATGTCTAATCGAGGCGGGGGGGGGGGGGGGAGGGGGCAGGAAAAGAGCCTTTCTCGCCTTCGGCAACAGAGTGTAAGCTTTTTTCACGATTGGCTTTTGAAAAATTTCGGCGGCCTTTTTTTGGGCGGCCATTACAAATTTTTCCACCTCTGGCAAAAGACCAGATTGACCATTATTTTTGCTTATACTTCTCTTTTTTGACAGATTTAGTGACTGAAGCTGATCAGCTGGTGGAAGACAACATCAAGTCGGCTATTTGCACTTCTTTTCCAACTCACTCATTTGTAGGCGAAGAGTCCGCAAAGGGTAAGAAAGGATTTAATAGCTTTAGCGAACAAAATTGGCTTTAGTTTCAAAAATAAGTAAAAATAGGCGTTGAAATTAATTGTAGCAAGTGAGAGATTATCAGTAGCGAAATTTTTTCGACCATTGAAAAATCAGGTCTCACAAATAATCATCGGGATTGGTCGAGTGTATGTAGAGTATATTATATGGAAGTATACTTGGAATTTGTCGAGTATATGGAATGTATATTAAAGCCCTTTTAGTAGTGATTCAAACATTTAAACGTTTCCGGCAAAAAGTTTAGTCGTAATGGGAAAGACCCAAAAAATGCAAAGAAAAAAGGAGCGTGAAGATGTATCCTTGTATTAGGAAGCATCCGGTAATTGCGATTCGATTTTAATCTTAATTTGAAAAACAATTTTATTTTAATTTGCTGATCTAAGTTGGACACAAACTGTCAATAACCACTGATAAATATAAGTGATGTTCTTTATGCTTTAATGCCATGAATTCGTGAATGTAATATAGGCATCCAATTTAGTCCTTCTCAGCCCTATGATTGGTTGATGTCAGTGGTTGCAATTCTTGCCTCCAATTACCCGAAATTTTCTAATAAAAACTCCGGGTAATTATTTTTATTTTAGCAAAGCTCGATTGAAATGTTGGGTGTCTAACCTCACACTTAAGTATAAACTTAACATTTTTCAGGTCAGACAAAGTTCTCGGGCAGTGATGTGGAGCCCACATGGGTTGTGGACCCCATTGATGGAACTATGAATTTTGTTCACGGCTACCCTGGATATTGCATTTCCATCGGGGTCATTTACAAAGCCAGGTCTGGATGGATTTAATAAATCTAAACTAGCAGTTCGCTGTCAACTATAATTATATTTCCACTCCTTTACAATTATGCATGCTGAGAAAAACTTGTGAGGGATCTTTTATAGAATCCGTTGAATAATACTTACATACTTAAGAAGTAGCTTTTAAAATGGTGACCATTCGACTAGCAAAAAGATCGACTAGCATAAAAGTTTGAAAACATGAAAATGTATCGACTAGCATAATTTTGACAGCTTTTTTTCTCAGAACTACAAAACAACAAGAAGAATAATCAGCTCAAATTGAAACTTGAATTTCTGATCTGAGAATGAGAAAATTGAATAATTTAGAAAATAAGCTTTCAACAAGAAAATTAAAATCCTTCTCACACAAATCGTGATAACTTACCTCCCGACCTGTAATGGCTTAAACCAAACACTGATTGCCGCGAAAATTCGGAAATGTATGAAAAAACTGTGATGTACATATATTTTTTCGTTAAATGTTTTCATTTCGTATAATGTTTAATATTGTTAATAAATGAATTTTGTGTTTGATTTTGTATGCTAGTCGATACAGTTTGCAGTTTTAAAATTTTTTGCTTGTCGAGCTTTATGCTTATCGGTACAATTCCTTTAAAATGGCGTTTTAAATAATAATTATTTTTCTTCTGGTAAATAGAGTTGAACTAAAGCAAATATCTTGTTTTTGCTCACCAGTTTCCAGAGAGAAATATCTCCTGTCAGAAGGACCGGATCCCCAAAATTTTTGTTAGCGAATCAGAGTTAAGTATTCAAAAATCTGACGAGTTAAGCAGAAAAATCAGTATGTTTGGGACTGTTGAAAAGATGCTGATTGGTTGATCATTTTTGTGCATTTGGTCCTTCTATCATGAGAAAAGAGCCCATCTTTTTTAGAGTAATGAACGCAGTGAGCACTCTTTGATAGGTCTTGTGATGTTTTAAGTTTTTTTTTCGTTCTTAGGAAAAAGTCTAAATTTTTTCCCCGTTCAATTTTGATTTTTTTTTGCGGTTTAACTTTTTTAATTTTTGTTCATTTCCTTTGCTGAAAGGAAGGCAAACTCCACTACCCAACAGCAAAAGTGAAACGATCACGAAAAACGTGATCGATTTCTAATTTCGAAAGTGGAATTTAGTTATCAGATTTCCCAGCAAAATAAAGCTTTACCTTTTGGTCTAATTGGGTTACTTAATCAAGAGAGCACTAATCATAACTTGTTCGAGAAATTCAAAAGAGTTTAAGCGGCATATATTTTTTTCTTTGCGATTCGAAAGTTGAAGTTTTTTTTTCAAAAAACATGTCAGTGTTTTTTTGTTTCCTTGCGTTCATTACTTTTTTCCAACTGGCAGTTGGCTATGTTTGAGGAATATCCCGAACAAGTGTATTCTGTGGTTTTCTAAAATCGGGAACAAATAGGTGCCCCAAATGCATAATTTCGCTAAAAGTGAGGAACATCCCGATGAAGCATTGATTAGTATTCACTATTAGGTCAGTTATGTTAACCTAGATCTGTGGTTGGTGTCGTGTATGATATTGTGAGTGACAAAATGTACTCGGCTGTGGAATCTGAAGGCGCTTTCTGCAATGGAAACAAGATCCAAGTTTCGTCCTGTGAGAAGATGCAGCAGTGCATGCTTATGTTAGAGGTAAGCTTTCGGCGACTTGTGGCTGTGGATCGGAATTACTAGTTGATATAATCTAAAAGAGATAAAAAAACAGAATCTTGGCTATGTAGGAATCAAGCATTTGCTCCTGAATTTATACAAAGGTTGAAAGTTGAAATTATTTCCAGCAAAATAAATTATGAATTTTCATTCACAAGTTTTTATGATGATTTTGGTTTTTTGGAGCGTATTACAGAAAAGCCGAAAAAGCCAACTTTGATTCCCTTGATTCAAGCGAAAAAATTACTGAAGTACTCGATTTATAAGAAAATCGAAAGGTCGTGGCAAAAAATTTCTGTACATATCTTTAAAACCGCGCTTACTTTAGCTTCCCTTTGTGAGAGATGCAACTTGGTGTTGTGAGGCGACTGAGACATTGAACAATCTCCTCTCGAACCACATTTGCGCCATTCGGATGTCGGGCAGCTCAGTTCTTTCCTTCTGTCTCGTTGCCGAGGGATGTGCGGACGCGTTCTTTGTTGCCGGCTGTCACCTCTGGGACGTAGCTGCAGCAGCTGTCATTGTCAGAGAAGCCGGCGGTGTCTTCCTGGATCCCTTCACGCTAGGCGAACCGAAGCTAACCAAGCGAAAGTTTTTAGCCAGTTGCAGTATGAATCTAGCAAGTGCTTTGAGCACTCATATAAAATCAACAACTGAATTTAAAGAAGACTGATTTCTGGGTTTATAAAAATATTTAATGCATTGATTGGTAAGTTCAGAATATATATTAGCCAAGATTTGCTCAATTTGATATCATAGCTCATACGTCTTAAAGGCAAAAGCTTGAGTTGCAATATTAAGTTGTTTGCGTTCTCTCAAAGAAACTCGTTTGATCTGATAATTGCATCTTAATTTTTTTTGAGGGAGATTTTCGCCCACAAAACAAAGCTAAAATTAAAATTACAAATTAGGTTCTGTTTATTTCCGCAAAATAATTTTGTTAAAGATTTATATCGGCACAGAATCTCAAAATTATCGGAAGTGAGAAAGTTTTTTTGGACTTCCTAGGTTACCTAGGCCTTGATTAGCACTTGAATGGTTAGTTGGATACCCTCATGATTACACTATTTTAAACAGAAGTGTCAAATACAAAAGTCAGAATTGAGTAAATACTTCTGAAAGCTTAGTCAACTTGCACGCCAATTTAAAAAAAAACCAATTGGCAAGCAGTCTTCTCCTTGAGCAGGAGATTCCCCTCTGATCTGACCCAGTGAATGATCGTCCCTGTAAATGAGTCATCGGCTAAATTTAAGCCTCAAGTGAACATGCAGTGCTCAACTTTGATTGCCTCAAAAAAATTGTTTAACGAAGTGATTAATCTCTTAAAATTAACATAAATTAAACTTAAGTTAACTTAAATTAACTTTTTGTTCCTGCACTTCGTATTTGAGAAAAACAACCCATTTTTAAGTTTCTTTAGAATAGAAATGAAAGTCAATTGGATTTCATGATTGTGTCTTTTTTAACCTGCGTGATTTTGATTTCGGATGCAAAAATGAGCGATAGTGATTCTACTTCCCAAGCTGTGGTTATCTACGATGAAAAGCAATTCTCTCATCCATTTGCGGAGTTTAAAAAGTCATTCAAAACTTTCTCATTTTCATCTGGACCGTCTGGACACTTCTTTGAAGTAAAAATAAAGCAAGACTGGGACGCGGTGGGCGTCGCTGGAGTTGTCTGGGAATCAGCCGAGATTCTTTCGATCTACTTCTCAAAGTATCCGGGGTTAGTGCGAAACAAGCGTGTTTTGGAGCTAGGAGCGGGAACTGGGCTTTGTTCAATCGTCTGCAAACACCTGGGAGCTGAACAAGTTATCGCTACGGATAGAAAAAGTGTGATTCACGCTTTGAAAGAAAACGTCGAGTTGAATTTTTCAGATGTGAATTCTTCTGACTCAGTGGTTGTCAATATTCTCGATTGGACTGAAATAGACACGAAGTGGGAAATGACATTCAGTCCGGACATAATTTTAGGAGCAGATCTAGTTTATATTGACGAGCTTTTTGACGATTTACTGAAAACTTTGCTGAAAGTGACTTCCAAACAAACTGTGGTTTATTTCTGCAGTAAGATTAGATATGATAGAGATTTGAAATTTTATGAACTGTTGAGAATAAATGGTTTCGAGTTTGAGGTACTCTTATCAGTTCCCGATAAATCTATTAATATTTATAAAATTCATTTGAAAAGTTAATGAGATTTTTACAAGATATCACAAACGTTTCCAGGTCTTTAAAGTTAGTATCCTGAAAATCAAGGGCGGATCTAAGATTTTCGATAAAAGGAGAAGAGGAAGATTTTTGAAACATGTTCAAAATCAGGGGCGGATCTAGGATTTTCTCGAGGGGAGGCGGATTTTCAAAAAGTTATCGAAAATTTGTCGACCAACTTGTTTCCGAGCTCTCCTAAAGCACTAAAAAGACTAGGTTTTGGCCAAATTTTTTGCGCCGCAGGCAAACTTTTGAAAAAAATCGCGTTTTCTTGGAGCGCGCTCGCGCTCAAATTTAGTATATATTGGCGTCCAAGGCGCCTTTAGAAAAATTTTAGGGTCGGTCGGTCAAAAACGGTTTTCTTAAAAATTGCCAAAAGGGGACCCTTTGGGTCGGCAGGAAGTCGAATCCCTAAGGGGGGAGGGCGTCCGCCCCTGTTCAAAATAATGAAAATTTAAATTTTGAAAAACTATACTTCTGAGCCCGAGAATGAACTATTTGGCGTAATTTTCTGCGCGGTAGGCAAGTTTTTAAATTAAAATAGCCGTCCTTTACCTTTTTTGGAAGCTTTTAACCAAGCTTGTGGTACATTGGCGATGAAAGAGCCTTCAAAAAAATTAGGGATGGTCAGTCAGAAATGGCTGTTTTCAAATAGCGGCCTACCCTCTCAGCATGGTAAGAAACGTAATCATGACTCAGAATGCTGAAACGCATGAATGTTTGGACTACGGGAGCGCTCGAAAAGTGGCTAAGTCTCCGCTTGTCAATCGGAAGCTCGTGGCCTATATTGACGCGTGCGCTTTGCTTGAAGGCGACGCAACACTACCCAACGCAAAAAAAAAATAATCAAAAAGGTGCAAGTAGTTGCTAAATTGTCAGCCACCAGCGGTGGAGCTCATATTTAGTGTAAGTGGCGCAAATTGTTTCAGATCCCTAAAAAAACTAGTTTTCCTTGATTTCAAAATTTTGGTGATTTTCTAACCCTTATGGGACTATGTATTTTTCAAAGTTGAAACAAATCACCCGGTATATGTGTCAGTAGGAAAGAATGTTCTGTTGCATTGGATGATGAGACGGGACAAGAAGTTATGAGCAAAAAAACAGTTGCTTCTATATTTTCAATCTATACGGTGCGCTCGGAAATTCAAAATTTTTCTATGAGATGAAAAGTTGGTTGTTTTTTTTTTCTTGATTTTTGTACTTTTCTGCAAAGCTTACTTTTGCCTTTTCTAATTTTTGTTTCGTTTGAGAGCTACTAATTGCCCCTTTTCGCTTATGCTCGCGAAGTTCAGCTTGCCTATGTTCAATTTTTAGATTGGAAAAATGAATTAAGCTTAACTTTCTGGCAAGCTTAACAGAATCTGGCCAGCTGATTTTAGGTTTTGCAGCTTCGATACTGAAGCAATTGTTGACTTTTTTTGATTTAATTGGTGATTGGACTTTGAAAAAATTCAAATTTCTTTGGACATTCGATTTTTTACTCCTCAAATGACAACTGATTCATCAATAACGTAGTATTCATTTTCGACCTCACAACTATCTGATTTTTGTGTGCGTGGAATTAAAAAAAATCCCAAACACAAAATTTTTCTCGCTCCCAGCAAAGGTTAAAAGTTGTAGGTAAGTTGGCAATGTTGTACAAAATATGCTCGTAGATATCATTTTCACTCTTTGATTGAACTGTTGACTCAAGCATCACTTGTAATTTCAAAAATAATTGGCTGTATCCGCTCAGTCAATGCGCATTCACTGCTGCCGTGTAGTTGATTCAACTTTGAAGAGCGTGACGGTATATTTTTTTCTACAGACAAATTTCGATTTCTTAACAAATAACTTCGCTTTTGATACCAACTGAAAAATATAGATATCTGAGCTGAAAATTTGAAAAATGATTCACCTATATGTTTTCCATGAAATAGAAAAGTTTGGAAAGTTCTTTAAAGGCTAATTTTGAATATTTAATTTAAACGGAACTGACAATTTTTACCGAAAATGATCAGAACTTAACGTACACGTAGCGCTGCGACGAACCAAGCTGGCTAAGCATTTTTTTTCAAATCCGGTTTGGGGAGTTTAATTAACCAAAATATTGCCTACAGATGTGGCCTATGTATATGCATACAATTTCTAAGTCTGCAATTCGTCTTGAGGTTAAAATTTAAAACTGATTTCAGGTTTTTCTATTTTTCAATGCTGTATGACGCTCCTTTTTGTACTATTTTCCGTAAAAAAGAGCTAAACTAATTAGATTTTTGGTCTAGAGTTTTTTTAAAGATTTTCAGTCCATTTCTTCTGAAACCATAGTGTACTTAGATTCTAGAAGTTTCTGAAATTTAAATAGTTTTTTTTTGTGAACCCCCGAAATATTGGTGTCATTGCAATATCAGCTTGATTTTAAACTAAAAAGACTCAAAATTTCAGGCGTACTCATTTTTTCTTTTTGCTATGTTACATGTGGAATCCTGTGGTTCAACGGGTCGTGTGATGGAATTTCATTTTTTTGTTCCGACTTTCGTAACGAAATTAACGAAATATTTGTGCTCGGGGTAGCTTTATTTCTTCAGACAAATGTCGACTAGCCATTTTTGATAGATTTTTTTTATCATTCAAAAGGTATTATTGTTTTGAGCTTAAATTTAAAAACGAAATATTTCACCTGTGATCATTTTTCATTATGGGTGTTAATAGATTGCCATTTCGGTCAATTCGGGACAATTAACGCGCGATATAGTTTGCGCTTTTAACGTCAAAGCGGAGATTTACTCCGTCTTAGAAATCGTTCGAAATTGGTTAAGTAAGCTTATCTGCCATATTTGATTTTTTACTAGGAGTGAAATTTATCATTTTTGTACTTTATATGGGGTATGGTGGGATGATTTTCACAAAATACCTCAATTTTTAAATAAAATGTTTTCATTTTGTTTAATTATATTTAATGTTCTCATGTTAATACTGCTCCATATACTTTTAACGGCAGTCGGAACTTTCAGGGCTACGCCCTGATTCGAGCAGTCTTGTTTGTTTTCAAAACAAGATGTTTTAGCTGTAATTTTTAGTGGCGTTGCTTTCTAATATCTGTGAACTTAATTGGCCTGTAGAACACTATAAAACACAGGTTCTATAGAACACTGTGAAAACTCTGTCGGATGACAATTTGTTGGCTAGAATCAAAATATCACTTTGCTGCTGTTTATATTGTTTATTAGTAATTTGTCTGAGGAAGACATGATTTTGTTCTTTAAAGGACTTGATGAAGCGTTTTAAACATGTAAAAATCTGAAGTAAAATTTATGATTGTTAATTTAAAAAATCTGATAAGATTGAAGCATATATTTAGAAGTTTTTTTTGATAATTGTATCTTCTTATTTGAAAGATTAAAAATTAGAATTCAATCTTTGTTTCAAATAAACAGCAAACTAGCTCGTATATCAGGGAAAAGCACTCAAAGTTCCGATTGTTTCTGTTTCTATTAAGATTGAGTATTAAGAAACTATTAAATATTAATCGACCAGCTTTGTTTTAATCGAGCAGCTGCGTTTTCGTTTTGTGCAAGCGTAATCGCATGGCAACCCAAAAATTTCAGGAATGATACCTATTTGATGGCTGTCCTTTTTATTTGTAAAGTTCGTCAGAATATTAAAAAAAACACCCCAAGCATTAATATTCTTCATTTTCTTCGGAAGTCAGAACAATTAAGGTAATATGTCCTGGCACGTGCATTGAGTTTTGTTTCGGAAGTTGTATGTAGTCGTCCGAGCGGTTCGCTCATAAGCTGGCTCCAATTACAACAGTTTCCACTTTGTAACCAGCATGTATTCCACTGCTAAACATTATTGTTCCGACTTTTGAGGAAAGTGACGAAAAATTTGTGCTCAGCTTGGGTTTTTCTTCACACAAATTTCGGCTATATAATTAGCAATTTTTGAAATAATTTTATCTTATTCTGCGAAGGGTGTTGTTATTCTGAGCTCAATTTTGAAACGATATTTCACTTGCGAGCAACTTTTGTAAAGTGTTCGAGAAGGGTTTACGGATTTGCTATTCGGCCAATGCGAGATTTTTAACGTGCGATATATTTCGTGCTATGAACGCGTCAGCGGAGATTTAATCTGTCTTAAAAATTGTTGCAAATTGAGTTGAGGCATGCTATTTGGTCTATTTTTTTTACTTTGCTATATGCGAAGCTTATCACGTTTTTATTTACTTAGCGTTTGGGAAGACGAGTTTCAAAAAATTCCACATAAAAGCCGGCTACAGTTGACTATTTTTGCATGTTACACCAACCAACTTCATTGAAAAGAAGAGCGATATATACAAAATAGCTTTTTCGGGTCATATTGACTTCTAAAAAACCATGGTAAATAAAGTGTTTAAGGTAGTACCTGCATTTTTTTTGCGTAGACTCCACACTTGAAGAGTTTCAATGAACAAAAAGAAGATAAGCAAGTAAGAAACAACTACGTAACGTTATGAAAATTGATTTGGCCTAAGCAAATAAGAAACAACTAGAAAATTGTTATGAAAACTGAGGGATTTTGCAAATTCTTAAGTTAAGAGAGTAGGGAATTCTGAAGTAAAATAGGGATCTTTTATGACAGTTTTGAGAATCAAGTCCAGTACTTACTCAAGTAAAAAACTAATGAGAAAAAAATGGATCTTTTATGACAGTTTTGAGAATCAAGTCCAGTACTTACTCAAACATAAATCATAAATGTCAGGAGCTTGTAAAGGGTACGCAAAGGTGATAGTTGGGCCCCTATATTAGGCCTTATAGTATTTGAAATTAGATTCCACATTTGTTCACTTGTGTTTTTGAAGATTTCACAAAAATTGCGGGGCCCACTTATAACACCTGCTTTTTTGTGGGACCTAACTACCATACTTGTTCGTGTATCGCAAAAAATTTTCAAACTTTGATTGTTTCATGTTCAATTTTAACGCTGATCAGTGGTCACTTTCTACATATTTTTGATAAGGTTCACTTGAGTTTTATTGAATATAATTATTTTTTGTTGATCAA